CCCTAGCCCCGGGGAAGATGACCGCCCCCCTTTCACCCCACGTGGCCCCATGGTCACCACCTGTCTGCGCCAGGAGGCGGAGAATGCGAAACCCCGCCCCCCTGTACCGGCCTGCGGGTGCACTCGTGGGTGCTGGTGTTGTCGGGGAAGCGCGAGGTGCCCGAGAGCTTTTTCATTGACCCTTTAACGGCACGCAGCTACAGCACCCAGGACGACCACTTCCTGGGCATCGAGAGCCTGTGGAACCACAAGAACTACTGGGTCAACATGCAGGACTGTTGGAACTGCTGCAAGGTGCTGGGCAGGGGCCTGCGTGGGTGTGGCAGTTGGGGGGCGGGGGGTGACCTGTGGCAGAGCTGGCCACCAGGCCTGCAGGGCTGCAGACTTTCCCCAGAGCGGAGTCTCCAGAGCCCACTCCCTTCTGCTGGGATCGTCTCTTTTTCGATCTGTGTATCCTGTACAATGTGGATGATTAGTTTGTCTGAATGACTTAAAAACATTGTATTGAAATGCAGCATACATGGCAGAGAAGTACACGCACCCTAAGTGTACAGCTCAAAGAATTTCCATAAATATATATATACTAGAGGCCCGGTGCACGGATTCGTGCACCAGTGGGGTCCCTCAGCCTGGCCTGCGCCCTCTCTCAATCCAGGACCCCTCGGGGGGATGTCGGACTGCCGGTTTTGGCCCGAGGGATGTAGTAGTGCACGAAGTGGCAGGCGGTCGGGGAGGAGCCCAAGCCCAGGCTAGGTGCTGAGCCGCTCCCACTCATCCCAGCCCCGCTGCACCTGCTGCTGCTCAGCAGCGCCGCTACGGCAGTGGGAGAGACTTGTGCTGCCGTAGCAGCGCTCGCCAGCCATGAGCCCAGCGTCTGGCGCCCATCGATCAGCTGAGCTGTGCTCCTGCTGTGGGAGTGTGCTGACCACCAAGGGCCAGCTCCTGCATTGAGCACCTGCCCCCTGATGATCAGTGCGCATCATAGTGACCAATCAACCCGGTCGTTCGGTTGCTTAGGCTTTTATATATATAGACTAGAGGCCCCGGTGCACAAAAATTTGTGCACTCGGGGGGTCTCTCAGCCCGGCCTGTGCTCTCTCGCTGTCTGGGACTCCTCAGGGAATGACCACCTGCTAGCTTAGGCCCACTCCCCGGGGGATTGGGCCTAAGCTGGCAGTCAGACATCCCTCTGGCAGCCCGGGAGCCCTCAGGGGATGTCCACTTGCCAGCAGGGAGCAGGCCTAAGCTGCAGTCGGACATCCTTAGTGCTGCTGAGGAGGTGGGAGAGGCTCCCACCACCACCACTGTGCTGGCAGCCATCAGCCTGGCTTGTGGCTGAGCAGAGCTCTCCCTGTGGGAGCACACTGACCACCAGGGGGAAGCTCCTGCATTGAGCATCTGCCCCCTGGTGGTCAGTGTGTGTCATAGTGACCAGTGATTCCCAGTCGTTCTTCTGTTAGGGTCAATTTGCATATTACCCTTTTATTATATAGGATATACTAGTATATAACCTCAGAGCCACTTACGGAAGCGGAAGACACTCAACTCCCAAAGGGAGGGCAGACAAGGAAGCCATATTGTGGCCCCACTACCTCATGCATCCATCCTCCTATCCATCCATCCATCCATCCATCCATACGAGTATATATATACATACAAACATACATCCTCCCATCTCTCCATCCTCCCATCTCTTCTTCCTTCTCAGTTCCCTCTGGGACACTGATTCTGGGGACAGCATGCCACCCTGGGGAGGTTGACTGGGATGTGGGGTGCTCCCCACCTGCTGGAAGTTACCCAGCAGGTGAGCCTAGGCACAGGTGGACGGGGATGAACAGAGGTGGGGGGCCCGGCCACGGAGGAGAAACCCCACCTGCCTCCTCTGTGCAATGCCACGTGTGCCTGCCTGCTTCCCTTCCCCCGGGTGTGAGTGACACCCTAAGGAGGGCTTTTTACAAGCCTGCCATCTCCCCTCCCATAACCTCTCACTGGCTTGTGTTTGCTCTGCACACGGCCTGGGACGCCCCAGGCAATGCAGAGTCGCCCCAAATCCAGACCTATCCCAGAGACCAACAGTGGGACTTCTTCGTGGGAGACTGAGCAACAGAAGGGGGGTTCCAGCCCCCCTCGGGGCCTCGGTTTCCCTGTTGAGATGAGGAGGGTGGGCCATGGACTCACAGGGGCTGCCGGAGCCCACTTTGTGCCCCTCTGACCCAGGGCCCGGGTCCCTGCTGTGCCCTGTGGAGAAGGAGGGGGGCGTGAAGGCTGTGGGGTGTGCTCAGCTGGTCTCCTCCTCCATCAGGACTTGATCTTTGACCTGGGAGACCCTGTGAGGTGGGAGTACCTGCTTCTGGGGACCGATAAGCCTCACCTATCGATCCTGGATGATGATGATGATAACCTGGTTGATGATGATGACGTAGAAAACCTGGTGAGTCTCACCTGCCTTGGGGGCTGGGGGCAGGGGGAGGTGGGGGCTTCATACTTGGTCTTGGTTCAGGCTGGCCTGACAAAAGTCCCGCTAGCATGCATGCGTATGGGAGAGGACAGTCCAGATAGACTGATTATAAGTTCCTCAAGGGTCTGGATTATGGCCTCATTTTATAGATGGACAAACTGAGGCCCAGACAGATCCAATGACCCAATGGGGTAGGGGAGGGCTGGGACTTGCATTCAGGTCCTGTCCCTGCCCCCCCCCCCACCCCCCGCCCACACACACACATGATCCTGTTCAGGGAGTATGCCCTTGGAGCAGGCTGCTAAGACCCCCTTCACAGGCTCGGGAAGCCCCTCACTTCTGGGCCTTCCTGCAGAGCCACTGTGACCTCCCCCAAGCACTGCTAGGCCTTTCTTGTCCGTCCTATTAGTCCTTCTGAAGGTCACTCACCTCGGGCCTTCCCCCAGCCGCCAGCATCCCTCCTCTGATCTCCTAGTCCTCCGGGCAGATCGGCAGGAAGGCCCGTGTGTGAGGTCAGGGGCCCAGAGGCCTTGGGGGTTGGCTGTGACACCTTGGGCGAACTCTCTGACCACTGCAAGCTTCAGTTTCATCCTCCGTATGTCAAGTGGAGGCGTGGGGTCAATGGGTCAGTTATAGTCATGGAACTAATAAGAGGTGCATTCATTGGCTAGAGCGGCCATAACCAAGTACCACAGGCTGGGGGGCTTAAACAAGAGAAATGTATTGCCTCACAGTTCTGGAGGCTGGAAGTCCAAGACCAAGGTGTCAGCAGGGTTGGTTTCTTCTCCTGGGCTTGTGGATGGCTGTCATCTCCCCGTATCCTCACGGGGTCCTCCCTCTGTGTGTCCTATGTCCTAATCCCCTCCTCTTCTAAGCACACCAATCAGATTGGATTAGGGCGAACCCTAATGACCTCATTTTACCTTAATTACCCCTTTAAAGGTCCTATCTCCCAATATAGTCACGTTCTGAGGTCCTGGGGGCGAGTTCATATGGATTCTGGGCGACGCAATCCTACCATAGCAATAGGTAACTCTCGTATGGCCCTTACGAAGTGCCCGTCGGTGCTGAACCTGAACTAACTTGTCTAAATCTCCACAACCACCGGGAGAGGTGGGTACTAGCCTTACCGTTCATGGTGACCATCATCCCCTTTTACAGATAGGAAGACTTACCCGCAGAGGGCTGAAGTAACTTTACCCAGAGTTACACAGCCAGTGAGTGACAGAGCGGGGATGTGAACCTGGGATGTGACAGCTTGGCTCTGTAGTCTGGGTTCTCCGCTGTGACGTGCGAGACACAGCAGTGTCGACACCCCGGGAAATTGTATTGGGCTATTCAGTGTCCTCAGTCTGGGGACCCGACAGTAAATCCGGTGCACAGGCGCCCCCTGCTGGCCATGAGGGGTGGCCCGATGAGATGAGCAGGCGACAAAGGCCTGAGCCACGTTTGTGGGTGAAAAGCTTTAAATTGAGAACATCTTTTTCAGGTTTCTGTGGTCCCCTAGTCAGTGGTCGGCAAACCTGGACTCGGCACACTGCGACTCGCGAGCCACATGCGGCTCTTTGGCCCCTTGAGTGTGGCTCTTCCACAAAATACCGACTTCTGCGCGTGGGCCACGAAGTTTCAATCGCATTGTACGTGTGCGCCCGCACGTGGTATTTTGTGGAGGAGCCACACTCAAGGGGCCAAAGAGCCGCATGTAGCTTGCGAGCTGCGGTTTGCCGACCACGGCCCTAGTTGGAGGACCACTTGTCTAGGCCAGGCCTGATTGCACGGTTGGGGAAAATCAAGGCTCAGAGAGAAAGAACCAGCCAATAAGGACAACCAGGCAGTGTCCCCAGCTCTTTAGGTACCTTCTACCCCTGAACCCTCCCAAGGCCCCAGCTGGGAAACGGAGGCTCAGAGCAGTTAAGACTTTCCCGGGACCCCTGAGCTGCTGTTGGGTCCACCTGACTCCAAGCCCCTCTCGACCAAGGGCCATGGCCACGTTGGTGCCTCTGACCACCGAGGGCAGGGGGGCGTGCAGGGCAGGGGTGCTGCTGCCCAGCCAGGAGCTGCAGGGATGGTCCCAGCCCCCCGGGAGAAGGCCGCTCCCCTTCCTCCCTATCTTGGATCACACCAGGCCAGGTCAGACCTGCCCTGACTTCTGGCTCCCCTAGGGGAGCGGACACGCCACCCTGGCTTGACCTTGGGCAAGATCAAGGGCAGGGGTCCTCAAACTACAGCCCGCGGGCCACATGCGGCCCGCTGAAAACATTTATCCGGCCCGCCGGGTGTTTTTGCCGCCGCTGTGTGCATAGGAATTTGTTCATAGTTTTTTTTTTAGACTAATTTGTTCATAGTTTTTTTTTTAAACTATAGTCTGGCCCTCCAACGGTCTGAGGGACAGTGAACTGGCCCCCTGTTTAAAAAGTTTGAGGACCCCTGGTCAAGGGGGGCGGGGGGCGGGCAAGGCAGAGGCTCTGCCTATCACTTCTGACCCCGCCACGCCTCTCCCAACAGGGCAAGGAGGATGAGGATAAGGGCTTCGACATGCCGCACTCCTGGGTGGAGCCCATCGAGATCTCCCCTGAAGGTGTGTCCGTGTGTGTTTGCTCCCCCTCCCCAGGGCCTGGGCAACAGTGACCCAGGGGGACGCCAGCCAAGGCTGCCCTGGCCCCTCAGCCCCTCACTCCCACCCCTTCTGCTTCCTGCTGCCCCCTCCTTGTCCTTCCTTCCTGCCACACACTCAGCTCTGCCGGGGTGGAGAGCCCACCAACCTGGCGTACAGGAGGGGGCTCAGCTGACGCCGCTGGATGAGGGAAGGTGTGTGTGTGTGGGGGGGGGTAGTGGAGGACCAAGGACCAGGATAGTCATTCCCCTCCCTCGCCCCACCCTGCCAGGGGGAGGCGGTGCACAGCATCCAGAGGGCACAGGGGAAGGGAGGTCAGGACCAGGGAAAGCAGCAGGACAGGGTGGCTTGTGCCTCCTGCTGACATCTGCTGGCCACGGAGGTTCCCGTCTGGGAGTGTCTACCAGGGGTGGGCAAACTTTTTGACTCTAGGGCCACAGTGGGTTCTTAAACTGGACCGGAGGGCCGGAACAAAAGCATGGATGGAGTGTTTGTGTGAACTAATATAAATTCAAAGTAAACATCATTACATAAAAGGGTACGGTCTCTTTTTTTTAGTTTTATTCATTTCAAACGGGCCGGATCCGGCCCGAGGGCCGTAGTTTGCCCACGGCTGGACCCATAGGGACTAGGCCTTAGGCCAGTGATGGCGAACCTTTTGAGCTCGGCGTGTCAGCATTTTGAAAAACCCTAACTTAACTCTGGTGCCGTGTCACATATAGAAATTTTTTGATATTTGCAACCATAGTAAAACAAAGACATATTTTTTATATTTATTTTCTATATTTAAATGCCATTTAACAAAGAAAAATCAACCCCAAAAAATGAGTTCGCGTGTCAGAGGTGACAGGTTCACCATCACTGCCCTAGGCTATTCCAACAGGGGGGAAGGGCCTGAGACGTGTCATGAGAACCAGGGCGGGGAGCACCCGGCTCCCGGGGTGGGGGCCTGGGGGTGGGTGGGGAGATCCAGGAGGAGGTGTCCTCTGAGCTTAGTTGTGATGCTTCAGAAGGAGCCAGGTTAGGGCAGGAGGGGATGGTGCTTCTCGAAGAGAGATCTGCGCAGGCAAAGGCCTGGCAGTGTGTGTGTGTGTGTGTGTGTGTGTGTGTGTGTGTGTGAATGGCGGGGGGGGGGGGCATAGGTCCTCTGGTCAGGTTCAGATCTGAGAACTCCAGGGCAAGAGCCACTCCTGGAGTCCACTCTCTCTTGCCCCCCCGTCCCCCTCCCCCCAGCAGGCCTGGGGCCGGGAGGAGCTCAGCAGGCAGCTCAGTGGACAGGGGCTGGCTGAGGGCTGAGGGGGGTTGGCCCCCCTCCCCCTGATCTGGCGAAGTCCCTCACCCCAGCCCACCCTGTCCACAGCGTTCGAGACCCGCTGCCCAAACGGGATGAAGGTGATCCACTACAAGAGGGCCAAGCTGGAGAAGTGGGCCCCGTACCTCAACAGCAACGGCCTCATGTCCCGCCTCAGCACCTACGAGGACTTGGAGTGTAAGGGGGGCAGCCGGGCACGGGGTGGGGCGGGGGGCAGGTCCCCCGACGTGCTGTGGGACGTCTGGCACATCACTGACGCTCTCTCGGTGTGAGTGCGGGCGGGCGCTGCTGGGAAGGGGGGTGTGGAGGCCCGGGCAGCGGGCCTGGCTGCAGCCAGCACCACTCGGCCACACAGGCACCAAGTTGCTGGAGATGAAGGAGTGGTACCAGAACCGGGAGGACATGCTGGAGCTGAGGCACATACACAAGGACACGGGCCTGATCATCGACTACTTCAAGCCGGGCCATCCCCAGGCTCTGCGTGGTGAGTGGACCCCATTGCTGGGCCAGCCAGGGCCCCCAGCGGGGCCTTACTCGCTCCTCAGAGCGGCCCCCACTCGACTGGCGTGTGGCGGGAAGAACCCGTGTCTGTGTAGCGACAGGGGCCTCCTCCAGCCGACCAGGTGTGAGAGGTCAGGGGAGCACAGAAGGTGCAAGGAAATGTGACAGATGTTCCTGCAGGAACACAAGAGCAGGGCCACATGCTGATTCCGTGGTTGGGGTCCGGCGCACAGCGGGGCCACGTGTACAGGGGGGTCAGGATGCTGAGCAATAAAACCAGCAAATGCTCCGACAAGGGCGATGCAGTGGGCAGAGGGCGTGGAGGCCGTGCCCATGACCATGAACGCTGGGAAGGGAGAAAACATAAGGTCAATATACTATCTCCTCCCCCCGCCTCCCTCTCAAAGAAAGGTCAGCCTCACTTGGTGGTTGAAATAAAATACAGTGGGGCCTTGACTTACGAGTTTCCCGACTAATGAGTTTTTCGAGATATGAGCCGTCTCTCAGCCGATATTTTGCTTTGAGTTGCGAGCTAAAATTCGGGTTACGAGCCAGCTTCAGGTACCCCACCGCTAGTTGGCGCAGCGAACGTCACAGTGAACGCCACAACATCAGCCCAGCATCACGTGTCTCACTCGTTCACTTTTTGATTTGACATACGAGTAATTTGAGTTACGAGCTCCGTCACGGAACGAATGAAACTCGTAAGTCAAGGCCCCACTGTAAATAAAACTAGCCCACTAAGGGACCATCTTACAGCACTCATGTCATCGTCAAAGATGAAGAAATGGCCGGCCCCACAGGGAGCAAGCAGGTGTGCAAAGCAGCAGAAGTCGCCCCTGTCACTGCTGGCAGGACAGCAAACTGGCACAACCCTTCCCCAGGGCAGTCGGGCAAAGTAACCAACACCAGCCTTAAAATATTCCTGCCTTGTGCGCAGCCGTTCAACGGCTGAGAATTTGTCCCGAGCAAATTATGGGCAAGAATGGTTTTCAAATGCGCGCTGCAGATGTTCATCACGGCGTTGTTTGGAATAAGAAGGGGGCTGGAAACCGCCTACATACCCCACAGGGGGACATGAGTTCCAGACCTAAGGCTCCTCCGTGAGGTCAGGGTTGGGGTATCCAGGGGGTGGCCAGAGCTCCCGGTGCTGACCCCGCCGCCTCCCGCCGCAGTGCACTCCTACAGGTCCATGCAGCCCGAGAACGACCGCGTCATGGAGTTCTACGAAAAGGCCCGAGTGGACGGCCTGATAAAGCGGGAGGAGACGCCCAAGTCGATGGCCGAGCACTACCAAGGGCGGCCCGACTTCCTCGCCTACCGCCATGTCACGTACGGGTCCAGGGTCAAGAAGGTCACGCTGAGCAGCGCAGAGTCCAACCCCCGGCCTATGATGGTAAGGGCTTCCTGGGCGGGGACCGGGTGCTCGGACAGGCGGGTGACCCCGGGATGGGGTCAGCCCCGACTCCAGAGGGACGTTCCCCATTTGTGCCCTCAGCCACGAGGCCAGGGGGGTGTCATTTCCTTACTCTTATAAGAAGTGCCGCCGAAACCGGTTTGGCTCAGTGGATGGAGCGTCGGCCTGCGGACTGAAGGGTCCCAGGTTCGATTCCGGTCAAGGGCATGTACTTGGGTTGCGGGCACATCCCTGGTGGGAGATGTGCAGGAGGCGGCTGATCGATGTTTCTCTCTCATCGATGTTTCTAACTCTCTATCTCTCTCCCTTCTTCCCTGTAAAAAATCAATAAAATATATTTAAAAAAAAAAAGAAGTGCACACTCAGACTAAACATTTAGAATATCTGGGAAAATATAAATATATGGAAATATATAAACATAGAGAAAAAATATAAAGGGAAAAAAAGTAAAAAATATCTCAGAATGGCATCTCTCAGATATTATTACATAATATAGGTTTGGTTTTACATATATATATATATATATATATATATATATATATTATTGATTTTTACAGAGAGGAAGGGAGAGGGATAGAGAGTTAGAAACATCTGAGAGAGACACATCGATCAGCTGCCTCCTACACACCCCCTACTGGGGATGTGCCAGCAACCAAGGTACATGCCCTTGACCAGAATCGAACCCGGGACCTTTCAGTCTGCAGGCCGACGCTCTATCCACTGAGCCAAACCGGTTAGGTTAGGTTTGGTTTTTAGAGTCTTTTCTAACTTAATTGAGATATGTGTGTGTGTATGTAGGTAGAATCCCTGTATCACTCACTTACTATTAAGTTGTGCATTTTTTCCCCTCCATATCATTACAAATTCTGTGACCACTGAGTTGAATGACTGCATACCAAAAAAAAAAACCAACCAACCAACAAAAAAACCTCTCTCTAGCACAGTGGTTCTCAACCTTCTGGCCCTTTAAATACAGTTCCTCATGTTGTGGCCCAACCATAAAATTATTTTCGTTGCTACTTCATTACTGCAATGTTGCTACTGTGATGAATGGTAATGTAAATATCTGATATGCAGGATGGTCTGAGGCGACCCCTGTGAAAGGGTCGTTCGACCGCCAAAGGGGTCGCGACCCACAGGTTGAGAACCGCTGCTCTAGCAGGAAGGGATGTCTAGTAATAGAGACGGCCACCTGGAGGGGTAGTGAGCTCCCCACCTCCGGAGGTGAGCAAGCGGAGTCCTGTGGTGGGAGCTAGAGAAGACATCCGGCAGCACACAGGCCTGGAGTGGCTTGGCACTGAAACCTACGGGGCCACCAGAACCGTTGTCTGGCGGGGGGGGGCTGCTCCCCAGGAACCCCTAACTGACCCCCGGTTCCAGTGTCCCCGCCCTCGGGGCCACACACAGAAATCCCCTTCCCCGCCACCCACCCTCTGCATGTGCTGGCCTCGCAGAAAATCACCGAGCGCTTCTCCCGCAACCCGGCCAAGCCCGCGGATGAGGACGTGGAGGAGCGCGTGTTTCTGATCTCGGAGGAGCGCATCCAGCTGCGCTACCACTGCCGCGAGGACCACATCACGGCCTCGCGGCGCGAGTTCCTGCGGCGCACCGAGGTGGACAGCAAGGGCAACAAGATCATCATGACCCCCGATATGTGTCTTAGCTACGAGGTGGGCCTGGGGGCCGTGGCGGGCAGGGCGGCGGGTGGGTGGGTGGAGGAGAAGGCCAGGGTTCCCGGGCCGGGGGAGTTCATCTCTTGCCCCTGGGGAAGATGAAAGTGGGGAAGATGAAGAGCTCCCCTCCCGGGGTCCTTCTCTTTGCAGCTCTTCTGAAACTCTTACCCTTTCCCCAGAGAAAGACAACCCAGCAGGCCACGACCACTCCCGAACCCCCCAGGCCCCGGCAGCACACCCCCCAGATCCCGAGACCAACGCTGGAGGAGCCGACCCTCTCACCTCCGGGGCTGGCTCTCCTAGTTCAGATCCTCACTCTCCTGGCTCGTTCTTCCGAGTCTCTAGTTTCTCTGCTGTTATTATCTGTGTTTGTTTTTTAAAATAATTGAGTTGCCATCCATTTTGTTAAGGGCCTTTTAAAATATATATATTTATATTTTTTATTGATTTCAGAGAGGAAGGGAGGGGGCGGGGAGAGAGAGAGAGAAGATATCAATTTTGAGAATCACTGATCAGTTGCCTCCTGCACGCCCCCTACCAGGGATCAAGTCCGCAACTCCGGCATGTGCCCTGACTGGGAATTGAACCATGACCTCCTGGTTCACAGGTCGATGCTCAACCACTGAGCCACACCAGCCGGGCTCATGTTTGTTTGTTGTTATACATGAGGAAACTGAAGCCCAGAGAGGTTAAGCAACTTGCTTGAGGTCACACAGCTAGAAAATGGCAGGGGGTGATTTGAACCCAAGAGGTCTGGCTGCAGAGTCCGTCCGCGACCCCAGCCGTTGCTGCCTCTCTGTCACTGTGGCCGCTGTTCCAGGTGGAGCCCATGGAGCACACCAAGAAGCTCCTGTACCAGTACGAGGCCATGATGCAGCTGAAGGAGCAGGAGAAGCTGTCCAGACATCAGGCCTGGGAGTCGGAGCTGGAGGTAGGGTCCCCTGGGAGAGTGGGCAGGTGGGAGGTGGCAGGGGTAGGGGGGTGCCTCACCATGCCCTCCCCCACTTGCCAACTCAGGTGCTGGAGATCCTGAAGCTTCTAGAGGAAGAGGAGGAGGCGCACACGCTGAAAATCTCCATCTACGACACGAAGCGCAACGAGAAGAGCCGGGAGTACCGGGAGGCCATGGTGAGCCTCGTTCCCTCCCCGGCCCTGACTTTTTCTGCACCCCCCGGGCCTCCGGGTGATGAGGATGACTAGGGATTCTGCCGGGAAGCCCTCTCTAGGGGATGAAGTCATTGACCTCATTGTGGTCATCCTTGCTGCTGAGCCGGCCATTTCTATGTTTCACCCCAAAGAGCACTCAGGACCCAGGCCAGGGCTCCCCCACCTCCAGGGGCTGAGGCCAACCCAAGGCCTCTTCTGCAGGCGGGAGGAATGAGGAGTGTGTGCCCACCTCCGCCTGGGGCTCCCCTCGAGCTCCAGACCTGGCCACGGGCCTGAGTTCTCCGTCCCCTGCCGCACGGGGCGTTCAGGTTACCCCCTCAGGTTGCACGGCCCAGCCTGGGTTCGAGGCCAGCTTCTACATCTCCTTCACCAACCAAGGAGAGATTTCTAAAAACAGTTGGAGGTTGGAGAAGCAGGACAGGGCATCAGATGGCCAGATCTCAGACTCCCAGGGATGGGCACCGGCCCCCACATCTCCAGCCCTTGTCTACCAACACGAGACAGAAGGCTCCAGGGTGAAAGGGGAAGAGGGAGAGCGTTACTGGTAGTTTTTGATTCAACATCATGAATAACAACCATTTCTCACCATTTACTGAGCGAGCATCGACTGAGCGTTAGGCGTGTGCTGAGGCTCAGGTAGAGAGACATAAATTCAAGGACGATAGAGAGTTGGCTGCTACTAATCACCACAGGCACAAGAGGCACCAAGCACTGGGCTCTGGGTTTGAGGACTGGCTTTGTGTGGTCACATGTTGATGCAGAGCTGGCTGGGAGGTCTCTGCAGCCCCTGCTGGTCCAGCTGACTCTCCACCTTCCCCCTCCCCCCCACAGGAGCGCGTGATGCACGAGGAGCACTTGCGGCAGGTGGAGGCCCAGCTGGACTACTTGGCCCCGTTCCTGGCACAGCTGCCGCCAGGAGAGAAGCTGACGCGCTGGCAGGCCATTCGCCTCAAGGACGAGTGCCTCATGGACTTCAAGCAGCGGCTCATCGACAAGGCCAACCTTATCCAGGCCCGTTTCGAGCAGGTACGGCCAGGGCCCGGGTAGAGGAGAGGACCTTGGCATCCTCATCTTGAAAAGGGGCACAGGGCTCTTTGCCCCCCACGTCACAGACGTGGGAGGGACCAATTGCTGGGAGTTTCCAGATGACCAACTTGTCCTCCCTTACTCTTGTTCATTGGGTGGAAGGGTGGATGAAGGGATGGATGGATGGATGGATGGATGGATGGATGGGTGGTGGATGAATAGGAGGATGGATGCATGGGTAGATGGAGGGATGAGTAAATGAATGAATGGATGGGTGGTTGGATGGGTGAGTAGTGGGTGAATGGATGGGTGGTGGATGAACAGGAGGATGGATGCATGGGTAGATGGAGGGCTTTGTAAATGAATGAATGGATGGGTGGTTGGATGGATGGATGGAAGGATGGTACATTGTAACAACTTCTAGTCCTTGATGCATTTCTATTGGTTGGAAATATACCGTGCAGTTCCTATGCATTATCTCATTTAATCTTCACAAAGAGCTCTGTGTGGTGGTGGTGAGTGTGTAGAATGGCCCTCATTTGACAGACAGAAAATTGGAAGCTCTGAAAAGGTAGCTTTTCCCAGACCCACACGGCTGTCTCAGTCTTGAACCCTGCTCTGACCCCATGGACTTGATATCCTTCTAACCAAAACCCCAGGGGCTCCCCACTCAAGGCATTTTCTGGCCCCGCCTCTGCTCCTCTGACGTCTGTGGATGGTGATTGCGGAGTCAACCCTCCCTGGGTTCTCTGGTGACCGGGGGTCTCAGCCTAAGACCTGGGTGCGGGTCAGCCTGCATCACCCCTCCTGCGCTCTCCTCTCCATGCCTGTGCCCACAGGAGACCCAGGAGCTGCAGAAGAAACAGCAGTGGTACCAGGAGAACCAGGTGACCTTGACCACCGAGGACGAAGACTTGTACCTGAGTTACTGCTCTCAGGCCATGTTCCGCATCCGTATCTTGGAACAGCGGCTCAATCGG